ATAGCCCTAAGCTATTCAATTCAATTGCATAATGTAAATAATACTTCAAGTAACTGATTCTACAAATAAACTCTAAGCTAATACGCGAAATTAGGTAAAATGACCAAAACGTCCATCGGGCCCACGTCTCGAATTCCGAAATTTCTCGAAGATAAATTCTACCCATAGCTTTACTAAGTCAAATATACAATTTGCTCTAATTTTCATGCTCAAATTCAAGGTAAAAGTCCAAAATTCCAAATTCTAGGTCTTCCCCAAAAATCCCAAATTTATACTAATTTTCCATGTCTACATCCATGTAAGATCACATATTTAACTCAAAAATAGGAAGAAATCACTTACCTAGTGTTGCTTGGTGAAAATCCCTCCTTGAGCTCTCCAAAATCGTCCAAGCCAAATGAAAGAAATGAAAGAAATGGGCCAAAACTCGTGTTTAAAACAATCTGCCCAGGCTTCATCGAATTGTACCTTGCGTTGTGCAGGTTGTACATCCTATTATAATTTTCCCCTGCTGTACACCTTCTGTTAAAATGCCCATAACTCCTTGTGGAAATATCCAAATGACAAACGAATTGAAGATTTAGAAACTAGACTCGAAGATATTTCATTTGATAGGTTGCACACCATATAACTCTTTATATATTCCGAGATATGAGCTTCTAAAATCGGCTCCATGCATCAGAAAATTCTGTCGAAACTGCTCCACCAGCCATCTTCAATCGATCATAACTTTCTGATAAAATGTCCAAATCATGAATGGTTTAACTTTCTGGAAACTAAAATGCAAGGTTAATAACTTTTATGTTTTGCAAATTTTCAGATTCCTTATAGATTTCGATATATAAGCTTCCAAATTCAGCTCCTCGATTGCACTAGTTGCTGTCAAAACAGCTTTCTGCAGAAATTTTCAGCAACTCTTTGGTCCGAAATTCATTTTGTTAACCTTCCGAAATCCACCTGAGGCCCTCGGGACCTTAACCAATTATACCAACATGTCCCAAAACATGATACGAACTCGCTCGAGGCCTCAAATCACATTAAACAACGTTGAAATCATGAATCGTACTCCAATCCAAACTTTATGAACTTTGAATTTTCAAACTTCTACAATCGATGCCGAAACCCATCAAATCACGTCCGATTGACCTCAAATTTTTCACACAAGTTATATTCGACATTACGGACCTGGTCCAACTTTCAGAATTAGAATCCGACCCCGATATCAAAAAGTCAAACTCTCGGTCAAACTTCTCAAAAACCTTCAAATTTCTATCTTTAGCCAAATGACTTCAAAATGACCTACGGACCTCCGAATTCACTTCCGATCGCGCTCCCAACTCTAGAATGACCATACGGAGCTACTGCCAGACTTGAAATACCAAGAGGACATCGATAACACTAAAAAGCACTTCAACCCAAACTTATGAAATTTCTTCCAAAATGCTAACTTCCACAATAGGCGCCAAAACGCTCCCGGGACATCCAAAACCCGATCCTGGCATACGCCCAAGTCCGAAATCATCATCTGAACCTACTGGAACCTCCAGATCCTGATTCGAAGGTCGTTTACTCTAAAATCCAATCTTAGTCAATTCTTTTAACTTAAAGCTTCCGAAATGAGAATTCCCTTTCCAATTCAACTCCGAATTCCCCGGAATTCAATTCCGACCATGCGTACAAGTCATAATACCTGAAGTGAAGCTGCTCATGGCCCCAAACTGCTGAGCGATGCGCTAGACCTCAAAACAACCGGTCGGGTCGTTACAATAGGCATAGGACGGGTAGTGCACGTGTAGGGTACGGCCTAGAATTGAATTGGAGCGTCGTAAGGTAAATGACTTTGAGATAGTAATCGGGTAGCAGGAGATGATAGTCTGTGCCCACTGAATAATATGAGCAACCCCTACCTCAAGGGAGTTATGAAGTATTATTTATATTGCACGGGGTGATCCTTTAGGCTAAAAAACTTAGGATCCCCTTTCCTTATGTACTTGTTATTTACAGTTAGTCATTTAACATAGATCAATGTAGTTGTGTCCTTGTAGTCATTAAGATTTGTACCAATTCTCATGTGTTACAATAAGACTCTTCGACTTCTAAATTTCCCTTTAATTGATCACCTAGCCTAATAACATAATCCACATAGTTTAAAGTTTGGTCGGGACCCACTGTTGGGGACCTCAAAGAGTGCCTAACAACTTCTCATTGAGGTAACTCTAGCCCTTACCTGGTCTTCGATGACATAGACTAGTTCAATAGAGTTATTTGCAAATAAGTGCCCTAACGCACCTTAAAATTATTAGATGGCGACTCTTCTCTTTTAGTACCCATTTAAAAGAGTTGTCACACGTCGAAACCCGTGTTCACGAGAAAATAGGGTGCGACAGGCGGTACAATTGTGACTCGCCTTCGACAGCTGACAATCAAGTTTGATACGTATAAGAAGCGTCATGATCACAGTGTCAAGCAACACTTAAGGGTGATGTCAAACGTGATTGCTTAACTGAAAAGTGATGGTCAAGTTCTCTCTGATGAGCAGCAGGTTCAGGTAGTGATCCTGTCTCTTCCCGATAATTGGGAACATTTGAAGGTTAACTTGACCCAGAATGATAGCATCAAAACTTATGCTGATGTTGCCCGTCATGTAGAGCTTGAAGACGAACAGCTTGGTGCTGCTAAAGCTGTACCTAGTGCCTTTGTGGTAGAATCAAGTGGTATAATGAGATCAAGCTGTATTAAATTAAGCATTGATAATTGTAAAAAAAAAGTGGGTTTTTTCGGCCTAATATCTCTCTCGGCACACGTTTAGCCAAGGTAGGCTAACTTGCACCATCGATGGTAAGAAGTCGGAAACAACCATCCATGTTGAGCTCAACTGTAACTCCGGTGACCACAGGAACTCAAACATTCACTCTATTAACATTTGGTAGCTTTCTTCCTACTCGATTCAAACCAATTCGAGAGGAAATTGAAACAATTTCTGAAGAGGAACATAACAGTGACAAGCAATGGAACAATACAGATCTAGCTGAGGAGAAGGAAAATCAGAAGTGCAAGGGCCAATTGCGAACAATTCCGCAAAGATTACAGTTCTCAGAAGCAGGATCTTCGGCGCAACCTTCACCAGATCTAGAACAACATGCAGCAACAACAAATGGAGGAAACGAACAGAAACAACATGCAAAGGAGCTTAGGCAGATAAATCGCAATTCTCAGATGGGCATGAGACTGGAATATGTACCACCAAGTCATCAAGATGGTAAGATTGTTGTACAAATTGTTGAGGAAGATGTGAGAGACTTGAATGACCACTGAGCAGCTGCCTTAATTGGTTAGTTTCTGGGTGATACTCCATATGAGAAATCTATGGAGGCTTATATTGATTCAGTTTGGGATTTTGTATCGAAACCTCAAATTCTGTATCACAGTGATGGCTACTATGTTTTTAGATTCTCAACAATTAAAGATAGGGATCTAGTAATGCAAGCAGGTCCATACTCGTACCATAACAAACCATTCACTCTGTAGAACTGGGAAAGAGAATTTCATTTTGACCCTAAATGCATTACAACTATACCATTGTGGATTCATCTCCCTAGCTTACTGCTGGATATTGGACTGCAGATGCACTTAGCAAAGTGGCTAGTGCTATTGGAATTCCTATGTATACTGACAAATTCACGGCTGATCTTAACAAAATTTCATATGCAAGGGTCTTAGTGAAGGTTGATATCACTAAGCCAATGCTGGAGAATATAGAGATTGTTACTCCATCAGGTACTATGCAGCAGGAAATTCTGTATAAATGGAAGCCAAAGTTTTGTAGTGAATGTATCCATTTTGGCCATGACAATTTTGAATGTTGGAGTGATAAGCAGCAGAACAATAAAGAGGCTGAGTTCAAAGCTCCAAAAAGAAGGAATAGAGCTAGAAAGAAGAAAACATTACAGGAATGGAAGCCAAAGGAACAACAAGAGCAAGAAGGGAAAATAGATGGGAAAGGAGAAGAGACTCAGCAAGAAGAGACAGTTAAGGGTTAAAAAAAAGCAGTAGTTGAAGATACCCCTACACAAGTGACACAAGTGATCAGTAGAAATGAAGAGTGCAGGAGTCAGCATAGTTATAGTCTTGTGTGCCAAGCACTTCAAAGGAGATGGGACTGGGATTGATCCTACACTCCAACCACCATGATTGTGTACACTTGGAATATAAGAGGGCTGAACAAGCCCTATAAACAGAAGGAGTTAAGACTCTTTCTGCAAAAGAGTAAAATAGATATCCTTGGGTGTCTAGAAACTAGAGTAAAGGAAAGAAAGGCAAAGAATATAGTAAACAAGGTAGCTAGAGATTGGGGTTACTGTTGCAACTACATTAAAGCTATAAATGGAAGGATTTGGCTCTTATGGAAGACACACCTAACAGTTAAGGTACTTCAAATACATGAATAATTAATTCATTGCTCAGTGGAAGATCAAGCAACAAACTCCCTGACTATGTTGACAGCAATATATGCTAGGAATAAGGTGCAGGTAAGGGCAATCATATGGCATGACTTGCAGATACTAGGTGGTCATATACAAATACCATGGCTTATCAGTGGTGATTTCAACAATGTGTTAACCACTGAAGACAGATTAGGATAGCCAGTTACAACTAATGAAGTGCACGATTTCAAGCAATGTATTGATAACATGCAACTGACCCCACTAAGAGCAAAGGGGTGCTTATTCACCTGGTGCAACAAGCAGAATGCTAATGATAGAGTTTACAGTAAAATTTATTGGGCTTTTGGAAATTTCAGTTGGACTCAGACTTATGGACATCTAGAAGATAATTTTCTGGAACCTGGAGTATCTGATCACTCCCTAATTGTAGTTCAATTATGGAAAAGAAATATTATCCACCCAAAGCCTTTCAAGTTATACATGGTGACAATGGACCATAAGGACTTCACTTCTATGGTGAATTGAGTATGGAAACAACAGGAAGAGCAGGATCCTATGGCACTTATATGGCTGAAGCTAAAAAGACTAAAAGATGAGGTTAAGAGTCTGAACAAGGCTATGGCAAGCTATGAACAAAGACTGACTCAAATTAGGCAGAGTCTGGAATGTGTTCAAGCAGCTCTAGTCACTGATCCTTTTAATCAGATGTTGATTGAGCGGGAGAAGCAACATATGAGTGATTTGGAGAAATGGAGTACAATAGAAGAAAGAATATTGAGCCAGAAATCTAGAGCAACGGGGATTGATTATGGTGACTCCAACTCTGAATATTTCTATGCACAGTTGAAAATAAGGGCTAGCAAGAATAATATTACTTCTGTATACAATGACTTGGGGATGAAGATCACTGATCTAAAGGCTGTGGGAAAGGAGTTTACTGAATTCTTTACACAGCTAATGGGGAATGCTAATGGATTAATGCCACGCCCTAATACTAGTATTATTAAGGCAGGAAACTGTCTCACTTTATAGCATCAACAGGAACTAATAACGGATATAACTCATGAAGAGATTGATGAAGCAATTAGGGATATGCCAAAGGATAAAGCCCCTGGACTGGATGGTTTTCCTATAAATTCTTCACCAAGCAATGGGAGACTGTAAAGCAGGACATATATAAGGTTGTGTCATATTTTTTTCACACAGGTAGAATGATGCCAGCATGGAATTGTACTGCTATTACACTGATTCCTAAGATCCGAGCTCCATCTAAAGTGAAAAACTACAGGCCTATAGCATGCTGCACTACATTGTATAAGGTTGTTGCAAAGATACTGACTAGAAGAATAAAGAAGGTAATAGAGGTAATCATTGGGAATTCACAATCTACATTCATTGAAGGAAGAAGTATTATTGATAACATCCTATTTAGCCATGAGTTGTTCAAAGGCTATAATAGGAAAGGTCTATCACATAGATGTGTGATGAAAGTAGACATTAAAAAGGCTTATGATTCATTGGATTGGCAGTTTCTTAGGTGTATGCTAACTGATCTTGGGTTGCCCCAGAAGTTCATCCATTGGGTAATGGAGTGTGTTTCAACAGTGTCTTACTCTTTCATGCTTAATGGTTGCCTTACCAAACCATTCCAGGCCAGGAGAGGGATTAGGCAAGGAGACCCCATGTCTCCTTACCTATTTGTCATTGCAATGGAGTACTTACAAAGAGAGATGAATCAACTACATGCCACAAAGGAATTCAAATACCATCCAAGATGCAGAAAGCTGGGAGTGACCCATATTTGTTTTGCTGACGATTTACTTATGTTTTGCAGGGAAGATAAAACTTCAGCAACCAAAATGCAGGAAACTTTCCGAAGATTTTCTGTTGTGTCTGGCCTTTAGGAAAATGCAGACAAAAGCTCAATGTACATTGCTGGAGTACACCAGGACATCAAAGTCTCACTGCTCAACCTAACAGGGTATATAGAGGGATCAATTCGTTTCAAGTACCCAAGAGTTCCATTGTCTGCAAAAAAGCTAAATATTCATCAATGTTCGCCACTGGTGGAGAAGATCATTGAAAGAGTTAACTACTAGTCAGCTAGGATACTATCATATTAAGGAAGAGTGCAGCTCATTAAGTCTGTACTCTTTGGCATGCAGACTTACTGGGCTTAAATATACATATTGCCTAAGAAGATTATGAAGATGGTTGAAAAAATATGTAGAACATTCCTTTGGACTGGCTCAAGTGCTACATCTAGGAAAGCACTGATAGCTTGGGATAAGGAATGCCAACCAAAAGCAGCTAGGGGATTAAATGTTATTAACATGAGGCTATGGAATAAAGCAACAATCCTGAAACAATTATGGGCACTGACAATGAAAAGGATGTATTATGGATCAAATGGACTCATTGCTATTACATAAAGCAGAAGGATGTTGACACAATGGACACACCTAAAACAGCAGCTTGGGTGGTCAAGAAGATCATCAAAGCAAAGAAATACTTGTTACAGGTGAGCACAATACAGACCAGCCTTACTACAACATTAGCAGATATGGAGAAGCAAGGTAGATTTCAAATTCAGAAAGTCTATATTCAGTTGCTGCCTAAATATCCCAAGGTTGGCTGGAAGATCATACATATGCATTCATAAATCCATCCGAGATTTAAGTTTCATTTATGGTTGGCAATTCATCATAGGCTAGCCATTGTGGATAGACTACATAAGTTTGGGATTCAAGTGTCACAGGAATGTGCCTTTTGTGCTAAGAGCATAGAAACATTTAGTCACCTATTTTTCGAATGCTCATGTACAAACACATTATGGGACAGAATACTCAAACGACTGGGAATTATAAGGAGAATTGACAGCTAGCAAATAGAGATAGAATGGCTCAGCAACATAGCTAAAAGAAAAACTGGCATGGCAGCTATAACTACTGCAGCTTTTGCCATGGTAGTTTACTGTATTTAGCAAGGAACTCCCTCAGATTCAACAAAGGCAGATATGAGACAGATGGGATATGCAGAGAGATTGCCCTACACATACATGTACAAGGAAGATCAAATAGCAAATGGCAACCAACTTTGCGAGGATTGAACAAGTATCCGTAGAATAGTTGTAATTTTCTTGAAAGTGTAATTAGCTTAGCTAATTGTATTTGTAATTAGGAGTCTGATGGTCAGCATCAACCTGGTTTTGTAAAGACAATTTTTTGATAAAATGGAAAGTCTGTTTTAATCACACAAAAAAAGAGATCAGGCTTCAAGTGCAAGAGAAACTGAAAAAATGACGGAAAGGGTAAGGAGATCGGAGATGAATCCTCCAAGAAAAGAAACAAGTCAAATGCCAAGAAAGGAAAACGGTTCTACAAGAAGAAAGATAAGATCAAGATGAAGTGCTACAATTCCCAAGTTCCAGGGCATTTTGCTCGTGAGTACACTGAGCCGAAAAAGGTAGTATTTCAAAACGCATCTCTTAGTGCTATATATGTTTCTATCACTGTTTTACTAACTGGATCTTATCCGGTGTGGATTGTAGACTCAGGGTCCACCGACCATGTGAGCCGTGATAGAGAAGCATTAATAGAGTTTCATAGAATTCCACCTGGATCAAAGCGTGTATGTGTGGGAAATAATGTAAAGCTTGAAGTTAGGTTAATTGCTCCAGCCCAGATACGATTAATCCAGCATGGGCTACATGATCCCCTAGTAGTTTACCGAATAAATTGATAAGTCGGGCATTCCTGTCCCACCAAGCGAAACCAGTAGTTTCTTGGTCACGACCAGCTAAGGCTAAAGTTCCATTAAAGAGCGTTTCCATGTGGTAGAACCTCCTCAGGGAATATAAGGTTTTTATGAGGCTCATCTAGAGCTGCTATCCAACCGCGAATACCTTCGAAATCTGTTATGTCAATAACACCAAAGGGATATTAAATGGATATAATTGGGATATGGATAGAATAAAATGAAATAGAGCCACTTTGAGGTTCCCTCTGAAATGAGGCATGTAAGGGATCCATTACGAATAAGTTTCGGGAGTTACAAAGGAAGTTTCGAGCTTATATTGTTCATGGGTTGGGAATGGAAATTGAACTATATGAGATCGAATCTCTTATTGTTCCTCAGAAGCTCAGTGGTAGAGTGATCGATTATTAACCGATTGGTCGTAGGTTCGAATCCTACTTGGGGAGATTTGATTAATTCTATTCTGCGAGACTAGAAAATCACCATCAATACCTCGGTCACTAACACTAAGAGACGAAAGCTAGGGGAGCGAATGAGATTAGATACCCCAGTCGCCCTAGCCGTAAATGATGGATACTAGGCATTGTGTGTATCAACTCGTGCAGTGCTGTAGCTAACGCATTAAGTATCCTGCCTGGAGAGTACATTCGCAAGAATGAAACTCAAAAGAATTAACGAGGGCCCGCATAAGCGGTGGAGCATGTGGTTTAATACGATGCAAAGAGAAGAACCTTAACAGGGCTTGACATGCTGCGAATCCTCTTGAAAGAGAGGGGTGCCTTCGGGAACACGGACATAGGTGGTGCATGGTTGTCGTCAGCTTGTGCCGTAAGGTGTTAGGCTAAGTCTCGCAACAAGCGCAAACCTCGTGTTTAGTTGCCATTGTTGAGTTTAGAACCCTGAACAGACTACTGGTGATAAGCCGAAGGAAGGTGAGGATGATGTCAGGTCATCATGCCCCTTATGCCCTGGGCGACACACGTGCTACAATGACCGGGACAAAGGGTCGCGATCCTGCGAGGGTGAGCTAACCCAAAAACTCGTCCTCAGTTCGGATTGCAGACTGCAACTCGCCTGCATAAAGCTGGAACTGCTAGTAATCGCCGGTCAGCCATACGGGGGTGAATTCATTCCCGGGCCTTGTACACACCGCCCAAGCGTAGTAATCGACGAAATGCTTCGAGGAGTTAAAAATAAGCATAGATCCGGAGATTCTCGAATAGGGCAACCTTTCGAACTACTGATGAAACCATGGGCAGGCAAGAGACAAACTGGCGCACTAAAATATCTTTGTAGCTAGAGGAAAAGAAAGCAAAAGCGATTTCCGTAGTTGCGGCGAGCGAAATGGGAGCAATAGGCACTTGCAGAATGGACATGCGAGGTGGCCGATCTTTTATGTTGCATGATGTCCTATATGTTTCAGAGATTCGATGAAACTTAGTCTCTGTGTCTGTTCTTCTAGATTTAGATTTCAATTTGAGTTTTAGTCGCATTGGTCTTACAATTACTCTAGACAATGTTTTTTATGGTTTTGGACATCATTATTATGTTTTTATTGTGTTAGATTGTAATCCTTCTACGTATAGCTATTATGTTGATCGTTGTGTTATGGTATGTTATTCTAGTAATGTCATACCTCCTTTTTACACACCCGAGAGGTATATAAGGGAGTTTTTCCAATTTAAGTGACATTATTCGAAATGGGATTATTCATTCATTTTTTGTTCAGAGTCGCCACTTGGGATGGTTTGTTTTCTGGTGTCCCAAGTCACCGGTTTATTTTAAAATCCCAAATCGAGGAAAATTTGACTTTCCTTTTCTGCGAACCAGAAATTCTGAATAATGAATTCTGTTAACCCGAGGAAAGGTATTAGGCACCCCCGGATTCCGTGGTTCTAGCACGGTCGCTTAAACTATCATAATTGGCCTATTATCTGATTTTATTACATGTTTTAGCCTATGGTACATTTTTAACTTATTAGCTGCTTTTAATTAATTTTAAGAAGATTCAACGTTATCTAAAACACGTCTTTGAACCACGCCACATGAAATGCACCCGCAGTTCGCAACACGTTTTATTAACGTTGTTAAGATATGGATTTGGATCACATGAAATGCACACCCGAGTTTAGGAAAGTAATTTTTTTAAAATAGCGCGCCTAAAGCAACTACGCACTTTCAACTTTGCGAGGGCCATGGAAAATTCAACTAAATGGCGCGCCTCGATTTCTAAGGATTAAAATTAATTAAATGAGGGCCATGCATTTTGAGATTTTATTTGGCACGGCACACCTCGATTCCAATTTTTAAAAGGAACTTGAACTAAATTTTGGGAGGGCCATAAAATATGACATGCCTAATATAGCACACCTCCAATCTACTTTTAAAAGCCCCACTAATTAATTGAGGACTGTTTTGAAGAGATTACTTTAAATTAAAGTTCGAACTTGATCCATTGAACAGAGAGACTAACATTTTATGAGGGCTAATCTTTATTCCGAGGACTGGGCCTAACGTGAGGCCCAATAGCCTAAAAAGGCTACAAAGCGGCAAAGTTATAGATTTCACAATAAGCCCCGTTCAGGCCCAAGAAGAGAGCCCAACCTTAATGAAGCACGCATAAGCTGGAAGCCAAAGGCTCGCAGATCGAACCCATACAGGAACAAAAATGGTATTTAGATTTTTAGAAGCATCAGGACTGAATTAACGGCAAACTACATGCAAGCCGATTTTATGCAAGATAAATCCTCATTCAAAACAAACTACGACTAAAACTTAAATTGTACAGAATTAACATTACAATATGTACTAAACTATTAAACCTCTATCAATCTTAACATATATATCAAAACATTTCATTACTAGTCATACTGAGCCTCAAGGAACAAACCTTGAATTTGTTTGGTATGGAATCAGAATGGTAATCTTGACATGGTTACTATCATTCACTCTATCTTTAAATCCAAACTAACTTTCCAACATTAGATCCAATCACGTAGTACTCAGACACCAGCAAACAAATCAAAACCAGCCTAAATGTCACTGCCAATACAAACCAAAGCATTTCTTTCACCTATAGCCAATTTCACACAAAGTTGATAACTAGACAGAAGAATCAAACCATTTAAAAACGTCGATTTCATACTAG